TGTATTTCTTGGGTCTGGATATTTGAATGCCTTTCTAGATTTGGAAAGTTTTCTTCCAGGATCTCATGGAATAAATTATCTAAGCCCTTATTATTTTCTTTCTCTTCTGGAATACCAATTATCCGGATGTTGGGGCACTTGATGGTATCCAGTATTCCTCATAGATTATCCTCATTTTTCATGGTTGTTTTCTCAATCTTCTTGATACTTTTTTCTAGGTCAGATGTTTTGTCTTCTACGTTAGAGATTCGATCTTCTGCCTGGTCTAACCTACTTTTAATGCTTTCAAGGGAGGTTTTGATTTCCTCTATCACATTCTTCAAACCTAGAAGTTCCATCTGGTTCTTGTTTAGGGTATCCATTTCTTCTTTCAAGTCATTAAAGGACTTCCTCATCTCCTGGAGCTCCTTGTCTCTTTTCTGTTCCATCTCAGTTAATTTGGTCACTACAAATATTCTGAATTCCTTATCAGACATGTCCACGACATCCATTGTATTGACTGTGGGTGATGTAGGCTTGATGATTTCCCTTGACGGAGAGGCCTTTTGTTGGTTGCTCATATTTCTTGAGCCTTTGCGATTGTTCTTAGTCATCAGGTAATCTATATGTTTCTTGCTAACTTATTTAAGGTATCTCTGATTCTTAAAAGTTGTACAGATTTAGAAGATTGATGGTTTATCTTATGGTTGGCCTATGAGTGTCCATTTCTTCTTTCATACCTTGGAATGAGTTCTTCATCTCCTGTAGTTCGTTTTCTCTTTTTTGTTCCAACTTGAAGAATTTGTTCACCATGAGTGTTCGAAATTCTTAGTCTGACAGTTTGCTAACATCGTTCATTAGTACGAAAGATGGAGAGGAGTTACTCTGTACCTTTGATGGAGATATACTTCCTTCTTTATTTATTCTTGAGGCTCTTCTACTTTTAGCCATTGGAAGATGTCCTTCCTTTTAATTACCTGTTAGGCAAATGTTTCACTGGCTAGAAGTGTGTTTCCCTTTTGTTGCGAATTGACACCTGCTGACGTCTCTGTTCTGTTGTTTTTAATACTGTGGTCTCAAGAAAGATACTGTAGTCAGGTGTCTGAAAAGCAGTATCTACTTTTTCACCGCTGGTTCTGTGTAAGGGAGGAACCCGTGGAACTTTATATGACTTGAAAATTTCAGATATCTTATTGTAGACCTAGCTAGTCCCTCTGGCAAGATGGAAGATAAAGAATAGAAGATAATATAAGGGAAAAGAAAGGAGAGAGGGGAATAAAAAAAATGTCATGTGCCACACGTTAGCACTGCACATGATTTTGCCAGATGCCTTCAGATGTACCAGGCTGCTGGCTGCTACAGTCAACAGGGCAGTCTATGGGTCTGGGTGGATCCTGGATGCTTTTTTAAAAATTAATTTTCTGAAAAAGTTTTAAGTTTTATGTATGAGACCTAGATTTATATTTTAGCCTTTTCTACTTCATTTCTTTTCCTTTAAATATATTTTCTATTTTATTTTTTACATTTAATAACTGTGTATCATTACAATATACCAAATGAATTTACCCATTCTGAATATCCTCTATATTGACTTAGTCAAAGATATTACCATATAGGGACCAGCAGTTAGCGTAATGGCTATGTTGCTGGACTCGACGTAGTTGACCACAGTTTGAGTTCTGGACCCGGTTGCTTAAACTCACGCCGGGCGCGTGTGCATGCGTGCCCAAGATCCTGAGAGAAGAATGGAGGAGAAGGGATTTTGGCGTGGCCATTTCCCCTGAGGGGTGATTTCCTGCTTTCTGGCTCTCTGTCTCTGTGTGTCTGGTGAGCACACAGAGACAGAGCAAAAACCTATAGCAAAAACCTCTCCAAAAAGAAAAAAAAAAAGATATTACCATATATACCATTATCTACAGATAATTTTCCATTTTTGTGTCCCACAAATATTTTGCTTCTTTCTTTTTCCCCTTGATTTCGTCCCTCTCACCTTCCTCTTTCCAATCCTCATACCACACTGTTTCTCATATCCACAGTTGGATTCCATTCCTTTATACCTTCTAATCTCTGTTTCTGCCATAAAATACAGATATGTGGCATATATTGAATGGGGATATACAATGCCTCTCTTTCAAAGTCTGACATGCTTCACTGAGCAGTATGTCGTCCATATTCATTTACTTTCTATAAAATGCTATGGTCTCTTTTTTCTTGATTGGGTAGTAGTCTCTAGTGTATAAGTGCCACAGTTTTACAATCCATTCTTTTCTTCATGGTTATTTAGATTGGTTTCAACTTTTCATGACAAAGATTGTGAGCATTATTTGCTCCCCAAATTTGCATCAGTAAAAATATACTTACATTTCTTGTTAATGTTATTGAGGTGTGGAGCCAACAGGTGGCCCAGTGGTTAAGGCACTGGACAGTCACGTGGTTGAGTGTAGTCTGAGTCCTGGACCTGGTGGTTGGAAACTCATGTTGGGCACATGTGCATGCATACCCCAAATCTGGTATAACCACACCCCATTTGGAGTGCTTTCTCTCCCTTTCTCTCTCTCTTTTCCTCTCTCTCTCTCTCTCTGGAAAGCACATGCAGCTTCTGCCCATTAAAAATATTTAAGGATAATTTCACTAATTTAAAATATGGAACCGATGAATGAATGGAAAAAGTGTGGCATATATACTCTGTGGACTACTACTCAGTCATAAAAACAAGACCATGGCTTTTGATAGAAAGTGGAAGAATATGGAAGATCTAATGCTGAGTGAAGCAAGCCAGGCTATGAAAAAGAGACACTGTATATCTCCACTTCATATATACCAACTGTCCACACTGTATGGTTGAAGCTAAAAGATTAAAAGATACAGAAGCATAGAAAATGGTTATGGATAGTGGAGACAGCATGAGAAGAGGGTGGGAAAAGGGGGAGAGTCTGAGGGAAAAATTTAAGGGAAAAACTAGAGAGGCAAGACATTTATGGGACATAGAAATGGATTATCTGTTGATAATAGTACACAATCCTCAACTGGACTGGTGTGAAGTGTATTTATGTTGGATAAATTAAATTTCCAAGCTGAGTAATGTGTGGTGATTGAATGTATAAAATAAAATTAAAATAAATAAATTAAAATACAATTTAAAAAGAAAATATGAACAAGATTTATCTTTAGAGTAACAATAGCATCTACATAAATTGAGGTTGAAAACTTATGAGACTCGTGTTTCTTTGACTACCCAGTATAGCAAAGCTACTCATTTAGACTTGGACAATCCACAGAAAGTGGTAAAATATTACTCAGATGACACTAATCATAAAGCTAATAATACATGGTTTTCATGCTTTTTTATCTTATTTTATTTCAAGTTCTTTTATACATTCAATCACATCATTTAGTTTACAAAGTGAATATTCCAACATGTTTACATTTCTCCCTAGTCTACTTGATAATAGTGTAAAGTTATCTTCAACAGATAATATCCCATTTCTTTGTCCTATTAATTCTTTGCCTCTTCATTTTACTCCTTAATGTCTTTACTCAGACTCTATTCCTTCACCCACGATCTTACCACACTATATCTGGTATTCACAAGCATTTCCTGTGTTTCTATATCCTTTAGTCATTCAGTTTCAGTCATAGAGTGAAGACACTCGGTACATATTAAGTGGGGATGTACAATGTCTCTCTTTCATAGCCTGGCTTGCTTCACTCATATTGATCAACTTTCTGTCAAAAGTCAGGGACTTGTTCTTTATGGCTGAGTAGTATTCCATAGAGTGTATGTGCCAGTTTTTCAGTTTATTTATCTGTTTGTGGGAATTTTGGTTGGTTCCATGTCTTAGCAATTGTGAATAATGCCACAATAAATACTGATGTGCAAGTACTTTTCTGATTAATAATTTTTCTGTCCTTTGGGTAGATGCCAAGGAGTGGGATTATTGGGTCAAATGGAAGTTCTATTTGTAGGTTTTTGAGGAATCTCCAAATTGTTCTCCACAGTGGCTGGACCAATTTACATTATTCCCACCAGAAGTGTAAGAGAGTCCCCCCCTTTTTTTTGCAATAGGGTGCATGCACTCTCCAGAAAGACAGAGAGAGACAGAGACAGAAAGCAAGAAATCATCCCCCAGGGGGGATGGCCAGGCCACAATCCATTCTCCTCCAGTGTCCTCTCAGGATCTTGGGCACAGATGCACACATGCCTGGCATGAGTTTAAGCCACCAGGTCTGGGACTTGAACCTCGGTCAACTACATGGGTGTCCAGTGACATAGCCATTATGCTAACTGTTGGTCCCAAGAGTTCCCCTTTCATCACACCCCCGCCAGCACTTACCATTTTTTTTTAAATCTTAGTCATTCTGACTGCGATTTGGTGGTATCTCATTTTTGTTTTGATCAGCATTTCCTTTACCATGAGGGATGTTGAGAATTTTTCATGAGTATTTTTAACTAATATGTTTATATTATTAATTTTTTTGCTATTTAACACTCTTACTATTTTAATAAGTAGCAACCCAAATAAAAAAAAATTAAACATATCTTCAAAGAAGAATGGCCATTCTGCTACATTTTGGTTAAATACAATCTTTGCATAACATGAGTATAAAGAATATAACAAATGATATATTTTTCAAAAACATGTACAATTATATTTGATAGGTAGTTATTAAAGAAACCCACATGAATCTAATTGTTAAATAACTGATTTTAGTATTTACTATCACTTCAAACTGAAAATGTTCCTCATAAGGTTTCTTAATGCCTCCTTTACATCCTTATTCCTCAAAGTATAGATGAAGGGATTGAGTGTAGGAGTTACTACTCCATAGAAGAGAGCCATGAACTTGGGCTGGTCCCTTGTGATGGAGGATGGGGACTGAAGGTACATACTAATAGCTGGTCCATAAAATAAGAAAACTACTATAAGATGGGATGAACACGTTCCAAAGGCCTTTTTCCTTCCTTCAGAAGATTTAATTTTTAATACAGCTTGTCCAATGAAAGCATAGGAAGCTAGAATTAAACATAGTGGAACAGCTAACATAAAAATGCATACTATAGAAAGTGTAAGCTCATTAGCACTCTTTTCACCACAGGCAGTTTTTATCAAAACAGGAATCTCACACAGCAAATGATCCAATTTATTTAGACCACACAATGGCAATTGTAGTGTAACAGTGGCCTCTGAGATAGCATAGACCATTCCACTCATCCACACAATAGACACTAACAGGATACAGATGTGCTTATTCATGATGTTTATGTAGTGGAGTGGCCTGCAGATGGCCACATAGCGATCAAAGGACATAATAGCCAAAAGAAGACATTCTGTGCCCCCCATTATGTGGAAGAAATAAAGCTGAACTACACATCCCACATAGCTGATTGTCTTCTTATAGCTTCCCAGGTTAAACAGCATCTGAGGGACAATGCTTGTGGTATAACACATGTCCAAAAATGAGAGATTGGTAAGGAAGAAATACATGGGACTGTGAAGATGGGGGTCCAACTTGGAAACCAGAATAATGGTGATGTTTCCCATCATGGCCATGGGATACATTATGAGAAGAATAAAAAATAGAGGAAGCTCTAGCCAAGGACGATCAGCAAAGCCTAGTAAAATAAACTCTTCAGGGTGGCTTCTGTTAATTAATTGCATTGTCTTTAATTTGTTTCACCTATAGTAGAGAAGTTTCAAGGAAGTTAGATTTATGGACAATGACAAAACATGATATCTACTCATAGAATATAGGGTGTATAACTTTGGGTCGAAATGACATAAAAGAATCTGGCAGCAGGTGAACTAATTTCCTTTCATAACATTAAAAATTAAAAGTAGTGGTCTCAGCAGTTGTTGTGGTGTTTGGGGTGCTGGAATCCCAAATGGTCGACCATAGTTTGAGTCCCTGGTGGCTTGCTTCTTCGCTTTCCCTCTCTTTCTCTTTCTTTGGCAAACCTATGTGCCCTATAGCTATATTTGAAAATAATACTAAAAATTTTTTTAAAAATTAAAGGTAGTTATTTTAAATAAGTAACACAATCATTCTGATAAGGAATTTTCTCATATATATAATAAGGTTAACAATAGCTTTTTTCTTGATGTGGGGTGATGATTTAGTGAAAATTAAATGGTGCTGGCATAAAAATCAGCTGAAGAAGTTAAAATGAAATTCATTTGTCTTTTATTTCCCCCACTAGGTGTTTGATAAGTAGTTGTAGCACATGGCCCAGGAATCAGTTGGAACATTCACATAAACAAGGCATTACTATCACCTCAAGGCATTACTTAAATGCTAAACAGCACAAAAGTATTGAAGAAGAAATAGTAAAAAAAACAAAAACAAAAACAAAAAAAACAAAAAAAACAAAAAAAAAACCAAAGAGGAGATAATCTGGAGGTATAAAAATTATTAAGATATCCTTGTCTAGCACCAGATAGTTAATTTAATATTCATATCATTTCCATGGGATGTAAGAAGATTTGAATTTATTTATTTATTAATTTATTTATAGAATTAAAGCATAAGTTTATTTGGAAACAGCAAGTGGCATGATAGTTAAAGCTCTGGATTCCACATGGTCAACTTTGCAGTTTGAGACCTGGACCCAGTGGCTTGAAAAACACATTGGACATATATGCGCACATGCCCAAAATTCCAAGAGGAGAATGGAGGAGAAGGGATTGCGGCATAGCCATAGCCCGGGGAATAATTTCTTTGTTTTGTTTAGTTTGTTTTGGGTTTGTTTGTTTTTCTTTTATTTTTTTATTTCATTTTCTTTTAAACATTCAATCACATTATTTGGCCTACAAAGTGGATATTTCAACAGCTGAACATTTCTTCCTAGCACAGTTGATAGGACTACAAAATATTTTTAACAGATAATACCACTTTTTTTGTGCCAATTAATGCTTTGCCTCCCTATTTTTCTTCTAAATGTCCTTCTTCAGACCCTCCTCTTTCACACAAACTATCTCTGATATTTACAACTATATACTGTGTTTCTATATCCTTTAGTCAATTAGTTTCAATCACAGAGTGCGGACACTTGGTATATATTAAGTGGGGACATACAATACCTCTCCTTCATAGCCTGTCTTGCTTCACTCAGCAGTAAATCTTTCATATTCATCCACTTCCTGTCAAAATCCAGGGTTCTGTTGTTTTTTTATGGCTGAATAGTATTCCATTGAATATATGTGCAACAGTTTTTCTATCCTTTCATCTCTTCATGGGCATTTGGGTTGTTTCCATGAAGGAAGATTTGGATTTAAATAAATCTATCTTTTCTATTTGTAATTGTGCAAGAAATTTAAACATTTTAACATCCGTTTCTGCAAGTATAAATAGAGTTAGGCTATAATGACAGAGGTTTCCCTATGGCTTGTAAATATGTTTTTGTATTTATGTGTTTTGGGTTTATTTTTATTTTATTTTATTTTACTTTGGAGAAGATTTTGCTATAGGGTGCATGCACTTACCAGAAAGACAGAGACAGAGAGATAGAAAGCAAGAAATCACCCTCGGGGGGATGGCCATGCCACAATCCCTTCTCCTCCATTCTCGTCTCGGGATCTTGGCTATGCATGCATACACGTCTGGTGTGAATTTAAGCCACCAGGTCTGGGACTTGAACTGCGGTCAACTATATGGGAGTTCAGCGACATAGTCAATACCCTAACTGCTGGACCCTTAGTTTTATATTTTATACATATTCAAATATTAATTCATAATATTAATTCATAATATTAATACATAATTCAAATATTAAGCATTTAATTTCTATGTTAAATGTTAATTAATTTAGCTATTTTGTCAAAATTTTCCTCGACACATTAAACTTATCATTCTTTTTAAATATATATCCACTAATGTATGTAACTACAAACATATTTTTCTTAATATATTTTATTTTGTTTTAATTTCTTTTATGCATTCAATCACTATACATCACTTAGCTTGAAAAGTGAATTTTCCCAACAATGAATACAGGTAATGACTGTCAGGTGAAACATGCTTATCCTAATTACTCAGATAGGAAGTGAAGATAACAGCCCAGAGACCAAATTCTGTTACTCTGCAATATAATTAGTATTTTATAAATGATTATATCTGCAGGTTTACAAAGCAGTTTCCTCATTCTCGATTTTATTAAATTCTCAAAGCTATCCTGTAAGATATCACACAGTGATCCTCAGAGCTAAAATGTGAATATTGTCCTTTGATTATATACCACCCTAAGCCAGAAGTATATAATAATAATAATGATAATATAATTTCAAGTAATCTTTAAAGATTCCTTCTTGAACACTCCAATTAGCTTTCATAGGCATTAAACAACTTTGTATTCACCCCCAAACCCTATGACAGAGGAACTTTCATTATCTATATTTTAAGATATTATTAATCATTCATTCTCATAGATTGATAATAAAAAGGAAGGTTCTAAAGATCAAAAAGTAATCACTCCCCTAAATAAAATAGTTAAATATTAAGACTATAAATTCAATTTCAGAATTCCAAAGTGGCCAGATGATGTTGTAGAGGTTTAGGGAGTCAGATTCTACTTGACTGACTATGTGGTGAGATAAATGGAGGTGAAGGGATTATGAGGCAACCATACCCCACTGTGTGGGTGTTTTCTTCCTCTTCCTGTCTCTCTGATGAGTGATGTGCTATCTGGCAAAAACAAAGCAGAACAAAACAAAATCCAAAGAAGCCCTCTGCTCTCAAATTAATATGTCCTATACATTACTTGACCTTGACTTTATTCAGGAAGTGACATGAACTCATCAAATTTAGAGACATATTTTGGACTAAATTCCTTTCAGGTTAAGTTCTATGTTGTAGTAGGATATGAGATTAAATGTGGTATGGATTAATTTATTTGATAAAATATTCTAAAAATTGCAACTTACTCCATTATTAAATAATTGGACTTGCACTATAAGAAATCTGTTTAATGTTGTTATATGAAGCTTTTATTTACTTATTTACCCCAGGCCATCCTTCAGTGTTTCTAGAGTAATATTAGGTTTGATCCTTTATAAATACTTCTGTAGTTAAATATACCTAACTCTAACAAAAGTATTCAATCGAGTATGCTTTCAGCAATTTTTAAATTGTATTATTTATGATTTTTTTCATTCTATTGACAGTACATGCAGTTATGTTTGTCAATAGTGATCATCCCAAAGTCCCTTCATTTCTCTAGCTGCTTCCCTAGGGACACCAGAGCAGGTGTGACTAATCAATATGATTTACTATTGAACTATATTTAAAGCTATGCAATTCTATACTTAAATCTCTAATCTTTTCATTTCATTCTGATATTTTATTACTTTTAGCTGTTGGAATCTATCTATGTTTATTATTATTATTTATTATTTACTATTTTGTAGAGCACATGTGCACATGCATACCAGCACACATGGCCACTGTGTATTTCAAGCAACCAGGTCTGAGACTCGAACCTCAGAGTCAGTAATGTGGAATCTAGCCAAGTTACCCACCACATCACCAGTCTGTCTTCATCTTTATTGAACATCTTCTATTTCCAATTATTGTTATACTACATAGAATTGTGTTTATCTATGAATTTTTAGAGCCATTTTAACAAAATGCTAGACTATTTATGTCAACATTTCCCTTGTACCTCCACTCATATTTTCATTGTAGTGTATTAGTTCTACTTTATATTTATCACACACAGCATTATATATATTTTTTACAACATTTTTAGGTTTACATTTGGTGAAAGAGCATAAAAAGAAATAAAACTTGTTTTTATGACCCCTAAACTTCTAGAAGAATCATGTAGATAAACTTTGACTAGGTATTTTTAAAGTTTGTATGATTGAATGAAGACTTCATACTTCATTCTGTAATTTAATATTGTATATATTATCATTAAAATTGTAATGAGGTAATAAGAAATGAGAGATTACAAATTGAAATGTAGTTGCTTCCTAGAGCCACTGAACTAGATATTTCAAAAGTTTAGAAAAGGCTCCATGAAATTCATTGTTCTTCTGCATATATTTTATTTAAGTTTTAAATACTTCATTTTTTTTCTTTTTTTCCATTTATTTCTTCCCTCCCCCATTTCTTGCCCTACTTTCAAACTCTCTGATGTCAATAGTTACTGTCCATACATCATGCCTTCCAATCTTTCAGTTTCTACCATAGAATGCAGACATTTGACGTATGTTAAGTGGAGACATACAATGCCTCTCTTTCAGAGTTCAGTTTGCTTTACTTACCAATAAAGTTTTCATATTTGTCCACTTTCTATCGAATGACAGGGTCTCACTGTTTTTTACAAATAGTAGCTACTAAGATCTATACACAATCCAACATTGCCTGAAAATGTTTGGTCTTAAAAATAAGTATCATTTTACTTTCCTTATTGTGCTAAATATCCTTCAATAACAAATTATAAAGGAATAATGGATACCCGAAACTTGCAGAAAAGAACAAAGAAACTATAATGCTCAGACAAATATTTAAGAATTAGCCTCAGAAATATTTTTTTTTAATTTGGTACTGAGTGAGAGAAAAATGGATTAGGAAGACAATAATGAAGAATGGTTTGTTTTACTCTTCTTTGTATGCTATCCCTGAGATCTCTTGAGCATTGTTTCAAACAGAACATTTATCC